AAGCATGTAACACACTTGGTGTCCTAACAGCTGCCAATGGCATAGTTCACAGATGTAAACTGTGTGTATGAATTTAAACTGTGGCACTAACATGAATCTACAACTCCTCTAAGTCAAAAAACAAACAAACAAAAAGCAGAGGAAACAAAATGCACCAGTAGAAGAGTGAACATATTGAAGGGAGGGAGGGGAAAATAGGGCCCACACTCAAACCCTATCTATCATTCACTGGAAAGTACCTATTGTCTGAAAAAAGACATTTTACTTGATTTATGGCACCACCTCCCTCATTAATCTAATGCTTTATGAGTTACCAGATAGAGAGCAAACATCACACTCTCAGATACTAAAGTCACTGCTCTCACTGATAGGGCTTGCTACAGATCTGTACACTGGGAAGGGGAAGTCCATGCAGACCATTCCTGTAGAATTCTTAAAGTAATATGGTCTGATGAGGAGAAGGAGGCCAGACCACTCTGACATTTCACATGGAAGATGCTTCTCTTGGGGCTGTATAGGGTTCAGAGTATGCATGTTTGAAAACAACACTGTCTGCTCTGGTAGCCAGAGCTACATGGGCTGAAGACTGTCACTGAACAGCACTGTCACCACTGCAGAATGCCAGGGAACACTACGCCAAGGGGCACTGTGGTGCCACCATAGCAGGCAGCTGTGGGGTTCTTAATGACAGACCACCTTGCCTGTATATTAAAACAATGCTCAATAGTTTCTTATTAGTATATCTAACTATCCTATATTTTTTTCCATACATTAAAAGGGAAAAGTAGACTGGAAAGTTGATTCTGATTGTAATCATAGTTCCTGATTTTAGTCTAATGATTCCCAGTTCTCTTAGTTCAATAATAAATGTTCAAGGCATCACTCCAACATCCCTGTGATTTTTTCCCACAAAAGCTTAAAGGCTAACAAGAATGCAGTGTGTAGACAGACAGACAGACAGACAGACACACACCCCCCCCCACACACCACAAACTATTACACCAAAGAGGAAAATGACTTTGTAATTTGGAACCTATTTACAAAATAAAGTGAAGTGAAATTGAGAAGTCAGACAAAAAATAGTCAACGGAAATTGCTGCCACGCGTTGTGATGTAAATGGGTACACTCTTTGAAGGGTAAGATGTTATTTTAGCAAATAATATAAATGTCCATACCTGTCAGATTTAAGAATTGTAGTCGGTGAACTCATCCTACCAAAAGTAACCAGACAGAAAAATGTATACACACACAAATGCTTTTTGAAAAGTACCATGAAGTACATTGTGTGTTTTTTGTTTTGCTTTTTTTCTTCCCTCCCCCTCACCTCCCCCCCCCACAGGGTTTCTCTGTGGCTCTGGAGGCTGTCCTAGAACTAGCTCTTGTAGATCAAGCTGGTCTCGAACTCACAAAGATCTGCCTGCCGCTGCCTCCCAAGTGCTGGGATCAAAGGTGTACACCACTAACGCCCAGAGAACTACATTGTGTTTTAAAGGTACTTCCTTACATAAATAAAAACTTCAAAGGAGTTTTCAAAAAAGGATATATATTTTTAAGTTTTGCTTGGTAAATGCATGATCATTTCATGAAAAAAAATGTAAACTAGCTTCATGAAGAAATAGAGTCTTCACACGCTGAAAGTGGGCATGATTTCAAACACAACAATGTGAATTGACTAGCTGTCACATTGATAAGAATGGTCAGGTGAGGAGCCTGTGACTTTTCTCTATGGTAAGACGAACAAATAGGATGTCTAGGACACAGCTTACTGGAGATAAGCTGACTGTATCAGTAGTGCATGTAATTCACACACACAAACACATATGTGCAACACAGGAAGTTTGAAGAATATTGACCAACAGAAAAGGAATTCTGTGCATTTGCTTTTCTTGTTTTACTTGAATACTTTACAGCAAAGCTCTAAAAATCATTTTAAAATATTTTCTAAATTAATACATTTACAGGAACAAGAGTATATAACTAGACAGTGAGGGTATTTTTTTCAAAGTAAAATCTAATTAGATAGATATTCAGGGCTACTTTTTAGAAACAACTGGCTGTGTCTGCAAAATAACAGCCTTTGTTTAGAAAGCAACCATTCTAAAGGAATGTTCTTGGCAATATAAGATTCCTAAATTAAACTGCTAAAACCTCTTGACTGAGAAAGGTGCACACAGTCAGCTTGACCTTGCCCTGAGACACAATGTGACTAATGTGACAGCACAGCTGACAGCAGGGAGACAGCCTGTTCTCAGTGGCGCTTTAAAACACCTGGGACCTAAGGCAGAGAAGTCTTCAGATCTCTACCAGGTATTACAAACACGTCTGCTTTAAACGTTCATTTTTGTAGCCATAACTCACTTCTATCTGCTGTTTTTGCCTGACAGGAAATAAGGTTCTTCTGTACAAAATTCTATTTGCATGTGTAATTCTCCAACATTCCATGGACGGAAAGAGAGACTGGAAAGTCAATTCTAATTGGAACCACAATTCTAGAGTTTTAATCTGTGAACCCCAAGCTCTCTTAGTCCAGGAATTTTTTAATCTGGTCAATCATTTGTTAAATATTAAAGATGGTTTTATTACTTGTTTCGTTTTAAAACTAAATTAACCAAAAAGTCTTCCCTCTACACATTTAAATTTCCATTACAACTTTAAGGTTATTATTTCCTTTCATACTAGAAAAGGAACCATTAGCAATTATCTTTTTCTTGAACATAACAATTTAAAACACAGAACAGACCTAACTTATACATGATGATTTCTTTGGAGGTATCAGAATTGAAGGTCAAATTCCCCACATTCAGCCTCAAACACAGACATTCTGAGTCTTGCCAGAGACTAGTTCACAGACTTTGCTATATATATATAATTTAGTTTTTTTGTGTGTGACTTATAGTATCATTTGCATAAGTACAATTATATCCTTGTATCATAAACTCATCCAAACTGAATAAGGAAAAACAAAAGTAAAAAAACCAAAAAACAAAAAACAAATGAGTTGGCCATGCATTTGAGTACATTGACAACGACATATTAAAAAACAAACAACAAAACCTAATCAGAAACCAGCAGAGCAACTGTAGACAAGAAACAGAAATAGATACATTCATACTATTTTCTTCAAAGTATAGTTCCTTTTCTATCTTTTATATGAGTAATGCAAAACCCTCATTGTGATCACTCTGCCTCAAAACTCTCCATGCTTTGGCTTAAATCCCTTACTATCCGTGAAGAATTGAACATTAACTAAAACCCAAGGTGTGGGTGGGTGTCTCCTGCTCCCCTGTGTTTTTACTACTACAGTGCTTTCACTGTTCCATTTTTAGGGGTTAGGTACAAAGGACTGAATCCAGGCTCTCATAGAGGCTAGGAAAGCTGGTCAGGAATCTGCTGTTCAGCTATATATAAAAGGCATCTTTAGTTTTTTGCTTGTTTGCTTGTTTTTGCAGACGGGGCCTCTGATTTTTCTAGTTTGGTCCTGAGCTTACTCCATAGCCTAGGCAGTCCTGAGTAGCTGGGATTAAAGGCCTGTGCCACCAGGCCCAGCTCTTCCTCTTGAGAGATCAAGTTTTTACTTCCTAGAATATAAGATATGTGTTTGCTTTTAAGAGGCATGATCCAAATCCATAAATACAGAACACAAGTGACACCAGCCCCCTCTCAGGGTGGTGACCTGAGGTCACACCTGCACTAAGTTTGTGTGGACATCAGTGCTGTTGAAGATCTACAAGAAATCTACAATCTCAGCTTTGACACTGATTGATTGAGTGAGTGAGTGATCTCACATTTCCCAATACTTCACCATGAAACCAGTTTCTAAAGATACCCTAAGTGTCCTTTGTCTACTTCTTAAGCTAAGTGGGCTCAAGTAATTAAGACCTCTGTTCCCAAAGGAGGACTAGGTAGAGTGGGCTCATTTAATTAAAGTCCTCAGTTTCAAAGCAACAACTAGACGAGATGGGCTCAAGTAATTCAAGGCCTCAGTTACTAAGAATACCTCTGGGTGAAGTGGGCTCACGTAATCAAACCTCGGTTACTAAGGAAACACTGTGCCAAGTGAGCTGAGGTAACCAAGGACTTCGTTACTATGGAGGAATTGGATGGTTCTAGATATTCACTGATCATGCCCAGATGAAATCTTTGATGTTAAAGAGGAGAAAATAGTAAATATAAAATTGAGAAATTCACCACTTAAATTACTAAAAGATTATTTAAGACACACTCTGGTTGTAACTGGGACAATGTGAGATTCCAGCTTAGTAGTCAAGTAATACAAATTATACGACAACAGTGCCTGCAACCAAATAAGGTTATACCATCACCATCAGTGCCCTGTGGAATGTAGTATTTACTCAGCACGCATCACTCATATACAGACACACTACAATCTCACAGCATGCATATTCTTCAGTGAGAAAAATGACTGAAAGTTATTGTGCAAATATGTATTTACCAACCGCACAATGCATTTTACTTTGAGTAATTAGAATTCTTGATGTGCAAATGTCCCATCCTTCCACCCTCCACATAAAATACAAGCAAAAAATAAACTAAGTCATGATGACAGAAACAAAAGCAACTTCCATGGCTATAAGATGGGAAGCTCATCAAGGACATCCCAACACTGTGCCTTTTGCCCATGTGTGTTTTCAGTAGCATCAACTCTGCCACAAATTACAAAATCATTATTGACAAGCAGCTCACATTTTGAAAAGCTATGCTTTAAAGCAGTCACATAATCTAGAAATAAGTGTAAAATGCGAAGAGAAGATACTTTCATGTGATTAAAATTCTGTAAAATGTAAACCCTGACACATGGGGTGTGCTCTGTCTGCACATTTGTGAGTGTTGTGTTCATTTGTCACAGTCGTTTCAGATGATAACCCCCACCCTCCAGGATTTGTCATTCACCTGGCAAGACCACTTGGGGTATCTTGGTGACACTATATTCATAAATTTCAACCCTCTGACCAGCACATGAAAGCTCGTAGGTACTCACCCTGCAAACTGGGCACTGCCAGTGACTACTGCTGTCTCTAAGCCTGAACTCATCAGACAAACACTTGGAATGATACACACGAAAACACAGGTCACATATCAACACCTCTCCAGGCAAATGGCATTCAAAACAATACCAGTCATGAGTTTCTGTTTCCCAGTCCTACAAAAAATACAAAATAATTTCGTATGACATTTTGTCAATATCTTCAATAACTAACAACAAAATTGAAACTAAAGTCCAACAAGTTAGGCATTATAAACAATTTAAGACATTTAATGTGTTAAAACAAGAGAGAAAATACCTAGAAATTTACTTCTTTAAAACATGGATTCTCTCCTATGCAGTATCAATACTCAGAAATACCTTAAGGTGATCTGATAGCAAACAGCTCCAAAGTGAATTATGCCCAGAGCCAATCCCAGGTCTAATATTATCTTTTCATTTAAAATTACAAATTAAGGAATGGTGTCTTTTGTAAGTTGAGTGCCCCACACCAACTGGCAGCTTAATATTTCAAACAGACAAACCTGTGTTTTGTCCTGCTTTTTACAGATTACAAACTGAGTGCTGACATACTGCGGGGACGGGGTGCACAGTCTCGAATGGTGGAGCTCACAGTATTTGATGCTTAACTGAAAATAACAACTAATCAAAATGCCCATGTCCCGACAGGTCGCCAAATATTCAGGGTCTGTTGAATTTAGAAAAATAAATTGAAAATGTGAAACTAAAGGTTTAATCACACTATCTGAAAGAGATTGATTACCACATGAAACAAAAGGAAACAGGCTCATTCATTGATGTGGCTAGTCCTAGCAATCAAAGAACACAAAAAGTTGCACAAGCATTCTTCAACATCTTATCAGTGAGGTCTCTGAACAGCCAGGGCAGGTAGGCCGAGTATAGACAGGAAGACTCAGATTTGCTTTTAGCTTAGAACTCATTCTTTATAGATGTTACTCTTCACTTTTTCTAAAATATACTTCAGAGTAAAGGTTAACTCTTGACCTTCTTTTGGAGCTGTGGAAGACAAATGCACAAAGGGAAAAACCAAGGCTACTTCCAGTGGGATCCTGACATTTCATATTTGGGTTCAGCTATAAACTATTTTTATGTATATCTGTACTCTTTCCAAGGCTGTGTGGCTTCCTCATTTTCTCAGATGCTAATATTAGCCCAGCAAATGGGGTTCAAGTTTGACTAAATAAGCACTGACTACTTCAACCACACTGAATGCCACCATCCACTTATTAATGTTCAAAGTGCATGTCCTCCAACCCCTATCCAGAGGCATGGTGAGGGGAGAGTAGTCAGTTCTGTAGAAATCTAAATGTTCTCGGTTTATGTTTCAATAAGAAATGAATGGTCTTCCCTGACCAGAAAAAATTAGGTAAAATAGGAGCGTTTTTAGTTCCTCACTGCAGCTGTACATACATTCCCTGTGAACTCATCTGATGGAATGATCCTTTTGGATTGTAATCATAAAATACTAATTTTACATAAAACTCAGAAAAAGGCATCTACACTACGGAGTTTGACTGAGGTACACCAAAGACAAGTATGAAAGCCACATTTCAGATAGACAGCTCATACATACATTGTATATTAGCTATTTCATTTTCATATTCAAAATTTTGATGTAAATAAGCGTCAGAATTCTAGTCTATTTTTTTAAAGAACTTATTCTAAGCTTAAAACAAAATATTTTATTCTCATGACTATTTAGACATATACATTAATGATTTATATATAATGACTAATAATAGAAACTGCCATCCTTCATGATTTAATTTTTTATTTTAATCCATCTTCACATGATGAGTCAAATGGTGGTTACTGGGATGGCCACAAGGGCAGGAAGAACACAGTCCCAGTCTTTCCACTTCACCGCCTTCCTCCTTCTACTGCACGATTTTTACCTACTTAAGAAATAGGCACTAAAATGTATCTGTCTCTGTTGAGGTGCCTAGAGCTACACTTTGAAAAATAATTGCAGGAATGCAACCGTAACTTAAATGAAGCAATGTGCAGAAACTTTTATTTTTTTTAACTACTTTCTTTTTTCTTTTATAAGACAGGACCTCACTAGCAGGCCAGGAACTCACTGTGTAGGCCAGTCTGGCCTGGCACCCACAAAGATCTGCCCCTCAAGTGCTGGAACTCCAGGCATGCACCCACACACCTGGCTTGGGTATGTTTTTCATATGGACATCACTAATCCCATCATCACATGGGTTAAAGAAGACAGTGCTTCTTGTTATTTTAATCATGGCAAGAGCCATTCATAACACACAAAATACACAGAAGTCACTGACTCAAAATCTATTAAATGGTCATGTGGACTGTGGCCAAGCTGCCTTTAGTTTCTCTTTAGTAAACAGCAGTCATTTAAACAGCAAGGCTGACACACATCTGCCACATACACTAATAAGTTGAGTTTACATTTGCACCAGAAGTCATCAGCTGTTCTGGAGACAGCCTAGTTAGCAGTGTGTGTAAAATGGCACTTCAGAACAAGAATGCTTTTAAAGAGCAAGTCCACTAACACAAAGTTCAAAGCTGGAAGCAGTAAATTATAGTACAGTTTTCACAAACAAGCCTAGTAAGAGTTAACTGAGCTAACCTAAACAAGATAGAACTCTATTACAAAAAAAAAAAAAAAAAAAAAAAAAAAAAAAATCAGACTTAAAGTAAAATAACAGCACAAAATTAGTTCACCTTGTCTGGGGCTGCTGTCCTGGAGAAAGGCTGCGTACTGTAGGCCTTTCAAGATAAAAACAAGATAATCTTGGTCTCTCTACCATAATTTTGCTCATATCAGGTAATACACAGGGCTAAAGGGATTTCATACATGGCTTATTACTTGAAGTACAACCCATACTATTTGGCAGACAATGTTAACAGAAAAGGCTATTATTAATAAGCTCATTATTAATGAAAAGATAGTGGCATTCTACTCTTGGGGAATTTATGTACCATGAAATATACAGTCTTGTCAGGAAACATCTTACTAGCAAATAACATCTGTGCCACCCATACCTGTACAACACCACAAATCATGTCTGATTGGTCTGAAACTGGATTACACTGAACTTTTTAAACAATCAGAATAAAGAATCTCAGAGTGGTAAACTCTACTTCACCAAGGCATTAAATTTATACTGCTGCCCTCAGATCCTCGGAGCAAAAAATTCCAGCCTGATACACTGCTTAGGGGAAACTGGAGCCAAACTGGTTCAAATCCTAACCTTGACACTAATGGCTGTATGGTCTTGGGCAGAATACTTAGCTCCTCTGTCTGTAAAATAAACAGAATGGCAGTGCCTAGTTTCCGGTGTCTTGATAAGAATCAAATGAGCTCATATGTACATAAGTGCACAAAAGAGTGTCTGGCACAGCCTGAGCACTCAGGAGATGTTAGCCAGTGTTATTATCTATGTATTGCACAAAACAGGAACCAAGCCACAGATGAATAACATGCTTCTAATAACATGAGTGCATTTCTCTCCAAGCATTTTAGAATTCATTATCATATCTGATTTTCACAACATTTCTCTGAGCAAGGTAAAACAGATTCAGGGATAAAAAGGAAGCTCAGAAAGATGTTTGGCTATGTACCAAGGGAGGTGTTTGAAGCACTGTTGGAAAAGGGGTATTCCAAATTCTGATCAAGGCTCTTCAATAATTGAAGCACAATTTTAACTTTTTAATTGGCTGTGTGTTCATGAGCAGACACACTACAAAGCATGTATATGACAGTGTGCTTTAATGCAGATACACTGTAAAGTGAGTTCTCTACCTTTCTAAATTTAATTTAATTCTGCTAACAATTCATTTAATTATTTACATGGGAGGATATGATGGCTACATATTTTTAGTGGTTTTAAATATTGAAAATAAATTACAATATTGCCCAGTGAATTCAGAATTCAGAGAAGGAGAAAGGGCCAAACAGCAGGAACTCATGCACACAATCCACCAACACATTATGAGCAAATAGAGACTCTTGGCAGTCACTTCTCAGTAAATCACAGTGTAAAATCACACAGAACTCTAGTGTAACTGGTTTCTAGTTAACATACAATCATCAGCATTTACTGACTAGTTAGTAAATAAAGGATTATTTACTTCTTTAAGGTTGGGAATAAATATTCAAAGAAAAAATGTACACACATACATAAATACATAAATTACAAAAACATTTCAATTTTTAACCACCAACAGCATCAAAGGTACATTGAAATTTGTGTTTAAAGGTATTTAAAACAATGAACTAGACGGGCAGTGGTGGTATGCGCCTTTAACCCAGCACTCAGGAGGCAGAAGCAGATGAATCTCCGTGAGTTCAGAGGCCAGCCTGGTCTACAGAGCAAGTTTCAGGACAACCAAAAAGGCTTACACAGAGAAACCCCGTCTCGAAAAACAAAACAAGGAATGTGTCAAATATAAACTATAACAGAAAAGGGAAAAAATTTAAATTGCTTTAGAAAAAACTAATTCTTAAAATTCACATGCTACATGTATTCAGTGTACTGGAATGTCCATTTCAGCATGACTTCTGAGCCTCTCAACATGTTTCCTCAAGAATGAAACAGGGGAAGGCCCTCTTGCTGTGGCTTCAAGGAATGAGACCATCAATTCTAATCCAATGTTTTACCTAAGACTTGTGAACTTAGCTAAATTTCAAGATAAATAGAAATCATCACTTCTGGGGGGGTGGCATTTGAGTTGGAAATAGAAGACGACAGCACTCCCTCCAGGTATCAATCTTGTCCCATTGAGGTTTGGGATTTCAGCCCATTCATTGCTAACATAATATGCTCCTCTCTTTAGGAAACCACAAAACACATACTTCCTTAATTATGCTTTAAAAAAAAAAAGTATAAAAAATACAGAGAGAAAAAAATGTAGAATGCCCCTTTTTACTTAGAACGATGTTCTCAGGCCTAGGAGCAGCCTGAAGTCCTGATATTAGGGATGATTCACTTGGAAATGCTCAGAGTGAAAAATCTAGTCATACCTGCAATTAGTCTGAACTCAGAGCAAAACAGGGATTCTACATGAAACTGCAATCAAAGCTTTCAGTAGATTTCCTATTCCTATACTGACATGAACTATGAAAGAAATGAGGTCATGAGTCCAAATTCAGCAGGTCTATAAACAGAAAAAGTAATTTTACAAGTAACATCATTTTTATAACAGACTTTTAAGCCATATTCAATACTGGCAACCAAAATCTTTACTGTCAGATCAAAATCACAAATAAAAGTGCAGCCTTGTCCTGGGAACTGTCAATAATGTTGGAAATCATTAAATAGTTCACAATAATCACCTGGTTTCAAGATACATATTGTAAATATTTTATCTGTAAATGATCCAAAACTCAGAATTACCTGCTTCCTACATTAAAAGAAGTGGAAACACCTTCCTATCCTTGGTGAGCACTTTATAAGCCAAAAGCCTAATGTGTAGACCATTAACTGACATTGATCACAAAGTAAACCCTAAACTTCAGTCCTCTAGCAAGTGCTAAAACTTGAAATATAGTTTTCAGAATTTAAGAATATAGAGAATGAAATACTAGAAATATGTATTAAATATATGGCTTCCCATCATGTGTACTTTAGAGTAAGCAGATGATGAAGCATTCTATGAACATGAGCATGTACGCATGTATGTATAGCATGCACACATTCAAGCATGTGTGTGTGTGCACGTGTATATATGCATTCATTAATTATGTTGCAAAACTGGGCCAGTCTTGCAAGAGTGCCAAAAAAGCACTCTGCTAGCTTTAAAAACTTAGAAAATGTATTGATAAAACAAAGTATTAAACTTCAGATAGCAAAAAGGTACTCTGTATCCTCTCACCAGAACTTTACAAGCTAAGAAAACCATGTTTAGGAACTATTTGGACCCTATCAGTTAGTGTTATTGTTATTACTAGTCTAGGATGACCACAAAAATACCCGAGTACGGTGTGTATGTCATTTAGAAAACAGATTGGTATGTATAATTACTTATTGATTATTGTGTAAGCAGGCCATCTAGAAAAAGGAGTAGTCTTGTGAATGGTTGCTGTTTTTTCCACTATCTCATATATACATATAAGAATCACCATAAAGATGTTTAGACACTAAACAGTTTTACCATAGTTTCTCCACAGAATTGGCATTTACACAGAGGCCGCTAATTAAATATGCTATCACTGTTGGAAAATGTCTGACAATATTTCTGGGCTAGAAGGAGGAATTTTAATAATACAGGGGCCTCTGCCTTTGTATTATAATATACTGGCTTCCTCAAAGACAGATATAGTCTCACAGAACAGTGAGTTTTAGGACATGGTTGCTGTACTTAATAAAAATAATGACCCAGAGATGCATGTATTCTGATCGCTTCAAGTTCTAAAATTAAGCATTAGAGAAAAAGAGGTAGTAGGAGTGTATTAACAATGTAATACCAACAAACTGACTTTTAAGCCCCTTTTACCATAGTTGTGTGGGAGAAAGGAGAACTATACTCATTGGCTTCTCTTTCTCCACACATTGATGGGAGTGAATACAAGCATTGTCCAACCACTACATCATAAAGTAACTCTGGAGATGAAGCCTGTGTGACTCCAAAAGAACCCTGTTTACTCATTTCTGATAGTACAGCTTCTCTCAAGAGGCACAAGAGCATCATCACCTATTCATAAATAACAGAACCTTCTTCCTAACGCTCATCACAACCCTGAATGAAGTATTCAACATACATACTAAATTCTAAAACTCAAGTTTCTAGAGCACCAAAGCAATTGAAGTCACAAAGTGGTGAAACTACAAAGTCCAAATTGTTTGTGTGCAGAGCTCTGGCCCACAGAACTTCCTTCCATCAGCCCTTCTTGAGATACTCTTGTTATTCAGGAGAGGACCTTTGAATAACAGTGTCTATGGTGTGAGGGCATTTACTAACTTGTCAGTTCACAGGTTAGACATGCCTCCTGCACAGATGACAGACTCAATAAAAATACACAAAGCCTGGGCAATGCAGAATCTTCTTTTGTGCTGCAGGTGAGATGGTTAATCACATGAGTTTGTGGATGTTATAGGGCATGAGGACACTCACTACGAGTCAAGTGGTGTATCAACCCAGGTAGTGAGATCCTAATTTAGTCAGTTAGCTTCATTATTTTATACCTTCAACAAGATCTACTTTTTCAAGGGCAAGCTCTTCATGGGATTTATATTGGAGAATACTGGTTACAAAGTAGTATAAAGAAGACTGCTTATATGGCTAGTAAAAAATTGACACTTTTACTATACTGTCTACAGACACTTATTTTAATCATTTTAATGTTTTAATTTGTGAGTAATAACCATAACTTTATAGGATAGAGTGTGATGCTCTGGTGTGTGTGTGTGTGTGTGTGTGTGTGTGTGTGTGTGTGTAGTGGAATGACCAAATCAGGATAATTACCACATGCATTTAAAGCCTATTCTTTTAGCTGTTTTGAAATAGATATAACATTATTATTAACTCTATTACTTTTCTGCACAAGAGATCATTACTAAGCATACTTATTTACTGGTCAAAACACTTGGCTTTAAGTGTATTTGTGTAGGCTATTTCATGGACATATTTTCATTCAGTCCTTGTAGTCTGAGTGAGAAAGGCCACCACAGGCTCATATATTTGCATGTTTGGTTCCCAGTTGGTAAACTGTTTAGGAAGTATAGGAAGGTGTGGCCTTGTTTGAGGTATGTCACTTGGGGGTGGGCTCTGAGGTTTCACAAGTCCCCATCAGGCCCAGTTTCTCTCTCTGTCTGCCTGCCTGTGGGTCAGGATGTAAGCACTCAGCCCTTTGTCTGCCTATCACCATGGCTCCCTGCCACAATAATAATGGACTAATTCTCTGAAACTGTAAACAAGTCCCCAGTTAAATATTTTCTTTTATAAGAACTGTCTTGCTTATGGTGTCTCTTCACAGTAATAGAACAGTATCTAAGAATCTTTGATTAAATAAAATAAATATTAATATGCCCACATTACAGCTGAGAACTGAATCCATGTAAGTTTAAATAATTCCAGACATGTAGGCATGAAATGCTTAAGATGGACATTATCTCATTCCATATACTACTTTATCCTTGAGTCTTTATAGGTACATATTTTATAACCTAAACATAAGTTTGACATATTCAGTTACATCACATATGCAAATTTGGTATAAAACTGCTGTGACTAAGAACTAATTAGCATTAAACTTGTATAATTGCTGTCTAATATACTTTAAGATTTCATTTAGTAAAAAGAGAAGAAAAGAAGACTACAAGTATGCACAAAAAAACATAAAAGTAAAAAGAAATAGAAAACCTAATGCTATGAGAAACATATAATAAGCTAATTTACTGCTTGATGAATTAAAGACATTTCAGTCTGAGGAAGAACAAAGCGCATTTAAAAAAAAAAATCACAAATCTTAAAGGAGAAAACAAACCATGTATTCTAAGAAATATATACACATGACCCACAATTCTAAGTCCTGATGTAAGCTCAGTTATCAGTTACATTCCCATCCTCACATTCTCTGTGTGACTTCCGAAGCTCTAAGTGTCCCAGTGCCTGGGACAGTATATACCCTCTTGCCTAGACTGTCCTAAGTCACTCACACTGGCCCTCAGTGCTCCATCTTATTACTGCAACAGCAAAGCTTCCAGCTGCAGCAAGGACTTGCAAGGAAGCTGCTCTGCTGGCAAGTCACATTTCTTCTCAGAAATATTTCCGGTGAACAAACTAAATTAAATTGATACAAGTAATGTTTTTTGGCCCCATGTTTTCTGATGTTTTGGCATAAAAAAAAAAAAATGACAAAACTGTTAGGCACGAACAACTTCCTACATTTAGAATTAGCAGAGGCGCTTGGTTTTGGTTCTTCAGCTTCCCTAAATCCATGGGCTTGTCTGCCACGTCACCAGAAAAATGAAATGAAAAAGCAAAAGCTTTCAGAAGTTTTCCCACAATGAATCAATTTTTAAGATTTTATGAGATTTTCAAAATTTTAGATTTTAAATTAATTATTAAATTGGCCAAACATACATTTGAAACCTATTATCTTAAAAGACTTTTATTATAATAACATTTTCTAATGTGTTGGTTAAAATATAAAAAAAAGTATGATGGGGAGATAGAAATGCCACACCTGAAAGCAATCTTTGTGCAAGAATTTAGTGCTTCTCTATCTGCCTGTCATCATAAAGCCATGTCCTGAAAAGGACTCAGTTGTACAAATCACCCTCCCCTCCCCCCAAGAGGCGCAGCTGGAGCAAAAGGAAGGTACAGGAAGAAGGAACTTTCTATCCGTCCACACTGACTTATGCTCAAGGCCTACCCGAAGCCTGCCAGTAGTCACTGGTCAGTGTGGACCATGGCCAGTCATGTGTTGTACATGAGAACTCTGTAGAAAGTCCAGCTCAGACTTAATCCCATCCAAGTGAGCTATCCTAAACAGGCAATGTGTCCTTTCCATCTGTCAAGTCAGTATAAACACTGTCCTGCACTAAAGCAGTTTTCAAAACTAGTATTAGTTCAAGAAAGCACCGGAAGTACCATGATTCATATGTACATTTAGTTTTATTTTTTTAGATGCAAGATAATAGACAGAATGGCAAGAATTTTGTAAAAGTTTTCTCCTAAGGAATCACAAGGATGCTATCAATATAGAGCCATAATGTAAATAAAAATGCTAAAAATGCTTACCTTTCTGACAATGAATTTCTATAGGTTATATTAACATTAAAAAACCCCCAAAAGTCCAAATTTCTGAATCCATCAGATAAAATATACTTACAATCTCATCTCCTGGTAACCAATATCCTTCTTGCTCAATACCAGCTTTGGAGCCTTTGCAGCCCACTGTTAGAGTTTCGACAATAAGACCATCTTTCACAGCTAAGCTCAGCTGACGGGTGGTCTCTTTGGGATGCATGCCGTGGACGCGGGACATATACCTGAACACAGAGGAAACACAAAGTTATACATTTCTCAGTCACGCCAACTAAAAAGGAGTAAAAACAAGAAAAGGAAGGGTCATTTGTTCCTCTTTTATTAGCACTTATATTTATGGAAGGAACAAGGGAAAGGAAGTAGGGAAGAATGGGCGAAAGGGGGTGAAAGGGAAGAAGGAAAAGAAGGGAGGGAAAGAAGGACATGAAAGTGTCCAAGCACTCAACTCTATGACGCTATTTTCCCCCCAAAGAAAATGATGGATTGGCAAAGGTATTTCCAAGCTCTTCAAAGATTGTTACCAACACAAAATTTCCTTCCAAAGTGTCCCAATGTAAACCAAAGGCTTATCACTCCATAAAGTACTTGTGACTAGAGTTCTTTAGGTTGCAACATTTTAACATTTCATTTTAAAGACATTTTCCAATGTTCTGAATTAGGCCACATTTTAAACATTTTTTAAAGACATAAAACATTTTTTTTTAAGCATAGTATATATTTTTTTTAAAGCTCAAACAATTATAAACTAAAGGAACTAAAGGAAAAGATCCAATCAGCTTCACCCCAGATGGGGCAGCCTAACAACACACAGTCCTTTTAGACAGGCTTTCTAAGCAGCACATGACATTATTTTCAGCCTGTATGTTTGGAGCAACAGTATTTAAAAGAGTCCCAATGGACAAATACAAATCCCTGGGTACACTTGGGTCAAACAAGCAATTAATTTTTTCATTACTCCCTTTACTCTGCAGACTCTAAAGACAGACTCTCATAATCCTCCATCAAAGACTTTAGAATACTTTTAATACTTTTAAAAGTACTTGTACTCAGAACTCAGGAAATTGCACCAATGAGTGTGTGAGAGACTGTGAATGGTTGCTAAGAACATGGACACATGTTGTCACCAAGAAGGCAATGTACACACTAGTGGATTTACATATTTATGGTATTTTAAAAATAAAAAGTAAATAAGTGAAACATTATAACCCTCCTCTGAACCACAGAAAACAATAGTAAATCCTGTGTTCACCAGCTACACTTACTCTAGCATTTTTCTACTTGTTTATGTCCATCTCTACTTCACTTAGTTTAATCTTTATTACTGGTTTTATTTCAGACAAAACACCATATATTTCTTCTATTTTTATTCATTAGAAGAAGAAAACCAACAGAAAATGTCAATATTTTTCTTCCCTATACTAGTAGTCTCCAAAGAGCCCTTGGCCAATCTAGATAAAACAGAGTGCATGGGGACGCTTGCTTGTAATCCCAGCACTCCGGCAGCATCAGGAGTTTGAAGTCAAGGGCAAGTTGTAATACAACGCCTCCATAGCAAGTTTAAGGCTAGCCTAGGTACAAAGACTCTGCCTCAAAACAACAAAAAATCAAATTATGAGACAATCAGAATGGCCTCAGACTCTTCCCATGAATATCCCATGTAAGAAAAGAAAGTAATACATCATAATAAATAAGAGAAAATAAAACAGGACAGAAGGAATTTTATCAATTTTGAAAATGAAAAGAAAAAAAAAGACAGCTTTTAAGGACCTTGTTGATTCAAAAGATGGATTTTTGTCCTTTTTCTGGAGAAAGTCCAGATGAGACCAGCAGAAGGGGTTGTGCCACACCCCGCATTCAGCATGGGGAAGATGGTGACTTTCTGTTTAGGAGACAGCTCACTTTTACAGACTTCCTCTTTCTGTCATAAATTAACTGAAGGACTAAGACAGAAACATGGAGATTTTGATTAGAGAACAGAACAGAACATTAATTCTGACAATGGAGATGCTGTAATTAACAAATAGGAATGTGTCAGGGAGGAAATGAAGGCCATGCATACTTATTCTGCCACATTCTCAATCAACAGCTTTTAAAAACTACCTCAGAGGTTATTTAAATTTATAAATAACTTCGAACAAAAAAGTTTCTAATTATCTCAATACACCATATATATTGAAATACATAAACAAAAAAAATCAATTAAAATGGAAAGCACATCAAATGTGACAATATGAAAAACAAGGAGAAAAACTGAAAATGAATGTGCAAAGCACACTGCAAGGAGATGTGGGAGGAGATCAAGGATGGTGAATATGATCAAAATACATGTGAAATTCTCAAAGAATAAAAATACTGTAAAATTTAATGCAGAATATTCACACAGTATAATACTGCCAGACAATTAAAACAGACAAGCAATTTAAAAACATGAACATGAGCAGGACCAGGGTCTCAGTGCATAGGATTTGGAACCCAGAGCACCTGGGGCCAAAAAACAGTCATACAAACTATCAAGACCTACACAGTTATAATACAAAACCTATGAGGAAGAAATGAAATGCTGGCAAGAATAGAGAGCTCAAGACATTAGTTCACTTCTCTGAGTCCACACACAAAAATATGTATGGAAAACAGAATATGGATCTAGAGACTTAACCAACAGACCTGGGACCTAAATAAATACCAGTAATGGGTTCACAAGACTGACTACAAAGAGACCACAAAGATGGTTCAGGTAAATTTCCAGAAGTGTTACAGACTTTGTTGGTCATGCAGCTGAAACAAACAATGATGAAACTGGAGTATCACAAACATCCAAGTTAAGACAGGGTTAAGGCCACTGAGTCAGAAAACAGCCTGTATTAACTTAGAAGTTCTTTCTTGGGAAAAAAAAAAAAAACACAGAGACTTATCATTAGCTAATGGGGTCCACAGTGAAAAGCCATGCAAACCAGACCAAAATTTGCTTATTTGGTTAGTTAAAAATCCCAATTTCCTAAGATGAAAAGGTAGGGAAAAAGCTTCCTTAGGAGGAGAAAAAAAAAAAAAACCAAGTAGGGACACGGTCAGAAGTTGATTTTGCCATACTTTCACTGACCAGCTTCTCTTCTAGCCCATAATAATAAAGGAAGGTAAGGGTACTAGCATATAAAGATTTAAAAAAACATAAAAACTTACAAAGCATAAGGAAGAATAACAAACAACTGGTATACAAAAGGAAAGCTCATGCACAATTTTAACAAAACATATTTGAATATACAGTCTCATATTAACTCTGTTGTGAATGTTAAGACATTTATATAATTTAAGTATCAAAAGCAAACACCATAAATGTTCAGTGAAAATTTAATATTTAAAACTGCACATAAAAAATTTATTAACAGACTAAAGTGAAACAAATCATTAAAAATATAATTTGAGGGGCTGGAGAGATAGCACAGAGGTTTAGAGCTCACATTGCTCGCTCAGAGGACCCCCACCCAGTTCTCAGCACCCACATGGTGGCTCACAACCACCTTCAACTACAGCTCCAAGGAAGCTGACACTTTTCTGGCCTCCATGGGCACCTGTGCTCTTGTACACATACCTATACAAAGACATAGACAGAGACACACAATTTTAAAATGTAATTCAGGTTGAAAGGTACTTAATAAAATTCAACACCCAGCCCCACAAGTACATCGGAATGAGCCTTCTGTAATGTGAGCAGGCTATGCACAGACATCTACTGTTGCTGCTCCTCTCCAAGACACTGAAAGGCAGTGAGCCACACAGCTGAAAGAACACAAAAATTCAACAAGGGTCAATGGAATCTTATTTTCAAACCACATATTTAGAAACCTAAAAATTCCACTGACAAACTATTTTTAATTACTTTCATAAATTCTTTTGGTAAACAAATGAAGATATTAATAGAAAACAATCAGGTGATTGTTTTCATTAGTTAGTTAATTGGGTCGGGTGTTAAGCACGGACTAAGCACCTTGTACATGCCAAGCCCATACTCTAGCACTAGTCTAAACCCAAGACCCTGATAGTGAGAAACAGTAGCTGGTTGACAGGCACCTGGAATGCCGATCAGGAAGATGAACAAAAGGAGGGCCAATAGAAACAGAAAAGTCTGGATCAGGACAATTGTGACACCCGTGGATACCAAAGAGAGCATACTGGGAATGCAAGCTATGCAAAGGAGAGCTCAGACTGCTGGGATGGGGATGGAGATGGGGGACGAAGCCCTGTGTTTATCTGTGCCCATAAGCAAATCAGAAACAGAAGGAGTTTAAATGTCAAAAACAATCCACTAAGCACTGGAAGGGAAACACTGGAGACCCTCTTATACTGATGAGAATACCTTCTAAGCATGGAACGAAGGCACAAGTGACACTACCAATAGACAGATTTACACAAAGCTAGCCTTTTCAGCATGGCGTGGGGGAGCCACAATAACCTATGCTGAAATGCTACAGACAAGCTGGGAAGCAATGCACACCTCAAAGACCCAATGAGTCCTATATGTGAGTCCTATATAGTCCCAGCACACACATGCTGACTCCCTTTACAAAATGCTCAGGACAAGAAATAGTTCAGATTTGTCATTGTTTCAGACAGAGAAATATTTGCACATACATAAAGTGCTTAGGGATTGAACACAGCTTGAACAGGACACTTCTCTTGTACACATATGTGGTCTGAAGGTAATGTATGCACTACTATTTGCAGTTAGTGTACCTGTATTCTGAACAGAGCCATCTCATGGGATCCATGGGATTCTCCCCCTTGTGTCATCACGATGGCAATCAGAAAGCATGAGGCTGATGTGAGAGAAGCCGCTTTGACTTTGACATGCTGGGTAAGCTCTGACTAGTGTTTAGGTCTACACTTAGCAATGGCCTTCCTTCCTAGTCAGGCTTACCTTCACTAAAGTCATCTGCCTGGGCTATCTCATTTAGGACTGTAAAATATATATCTGAGGTAGCAATACTACTTTATTTTTGTGGGGTTTTTGTTTGGTTTTGGTTTTCAATACGGGGTTTCTACAGTCCTGGCAGTCCTGGAACTCATTTGGTCTGGTCTCAAACTCACAGAAATTTGCCTGGCTTACCTCCCAAGTGTTGGCATTAAAGGCATGTACCACCACTGCCCAGCAAGTTTTGTTTTTTTAGGGAATTTTTTTAAACAACCTTAGTTCCCTCTCCCTCCCATTTCCCCTACCATCCCCCTCCCC